ATTTTCTGGTTACGCTTTTATTTTTCCGGCAAAATCCTATTTCCAGGCAAAGTTTTCACTTTTGCTGCTTTTATTTTAAGAAACATTCTTTGAAAAGTTTAAATTTATTACTACAGAAATTAAGGTTCTTACTCTCGCAGTTAATTTCTGAAAAATCATTTAGCACAAGAAATCGTTCTAAGTGCGGATTTAAGATTTACAATTTTCCTAACAGATTAAAGAAAATTTTTTTAGTAATTAATTATTGTAGTTGCTTTCAAAATTGTTCTTCCGTTAAATTAACTACTTATGATCTTACAACTTAAGTGCTTAGTAATGAAATTTTTAAGAAACTTACTTTGATGGTGATGTAGATGTTAGCTCAGTGTCAAGCTTGAATTGTTCTCACGAATAATTTGAGGTCTTTCTGTAAGGATTTTGATATTGAGAAGTAGTTGAAAAAAATAATATTTTTTGATATAAATTTTATCTCAACAAACATGTTTTTTACTAAATTGGAATTTTGAGCAATAGTTTTTATACACTACCTGACAGTATTTTGTGGATTATTGCTGGCCATTAATTTGGACAGCATTTTTTTCACTGGTTAAAGGATATTGAATTTAGAATATATGTCTTTTCTAAGGCTCCATTAATAATGAATAGTTTTTAATAAAGTGACATCATTTCAGCAGATAAATCCATAAATCAGAAAATAAAAAAATAGTATGAAAAGTGTTATATTTGTATAATACTGAGATATAATGAGACCAAAAAAAGAGATAAAATTCAAATTCTAATATATTTTATTTTAGACTATAAGTATAAAGGATAAGTCCTTGGTCTAGGAAATAAAACAGATAGTATGGAATATTTTCATTTTTTTAAATATACTGATATATTGTGTGTAGATTGAAGCCGTTCCAAAATAAGAATTCAGTCAAGAAAACTAAAATATATTTAAAGAATTAAAAATTTTGTTTTCAGATAATTAAGGCATAGTTAGAGCTTCACATCTCATACTTTATCAGATGCAGTTTTTACTGATATTTTCGCTACATCCTGTAAATATTTCCATCCATCGGGGTTTATTTTTGTGTAAAGACGACAGAACTATCACATGTATCCTGACCGCTCCATGGTATAGAGAGCTAAGAATAGTAAAGATTTTGGAATATGTATGTGCATATATTATTCAAAATTTGGGAAGTTGAATAGGCAATTTTTTAAATATAATAAGATACTATGTGTAGAAGAGAAACCCTCCCAAAATAAAAATTTACTCAAAAAAACTTTTATATCTTAAAAATATTTGGTTCAGATAATTTGCGCATAGTTAGAGCTCTACATCACATACTTTTTAAATATTCTGTAAATTGATAACTTTAAAGTACTTATATTTTAATAGATTCCGAATTTATAGTCATTCAGGATTCCATTTTTTCAAGAAATTGTCGATCATTTTTACCGTAAACCTCATTTTTATCAAAAGTGTTGACAAGTTTTTAAGATCTCATTCATATACATCAATATAAAAAAATAAATATTATTAAATATTAAAAAGCTATGTTTCCATACACAGAATTTTTATATGTCAGTAGCTTAGTATTATCAAATTTTTTTGTCAAAAAGTTTTCTTTCCTTTATGCTCGGTCTTCATTCAGTCAATTTTTGAAGTAAACTACCTACGACATTATACATTGACTCTGTAGAATAAGTTTTTTTTTTTGTAGTTAAGCTTCAATATCTTATGTACTCTTTTTGATTAGCTTTCTCAAATCTTATACGCCTAATTTTTAATTTCATAAACTATTATTTGTTCAATCCTTAAATCTTTTTCTCATATCTTTCAAAGATTCTGCCAAAATCTTCGACTATGAACCTTGTCATGGTTAAAAGTCTTTAAGAAAGAAAAAAATAACTTTTCACAAAAAAAAAATTTTTAAGAAAATATATATTTTCTCCCTTTTTTCGCTAAAATGCAATAAAGAATGAAAATCATGTAAGAAAATTTTCCGTCATGTTGAAAAATTGATTTCGGGAACAGTTGCAAAGTAAATCTTAACGCTTAACTTGCACTAATTCATTGCAAAATTTATTACCTTGTGAATCACCTACAAGTTGCGGTACATTTGCTGCCGCTGTTGCCAGTATTGCCAGTCTTGCCAGTCGCAACCAGTCTTACCAGTGTTGCGAATGTTGCAGTTGCATTTGTAAAATAATTGCATAATTTTGGAAAAGTTGTAGGCATAAAAACTCAGAAAAGCAACGCAAAACTTTTTCTATTTTCTGCTTGAAAGCCTTTTTCCTGAATTTAAATTTGCTTACTTAACGTACCGGCCAGGCATCGTTGAGTTTTCCTTCCGAACATTTGTATTTGCTACTTTCTCCGTGCTTAGCAATAATAATAATAACGTTGTAGTTGTTGTTGTTGTTAGTGTTGCTGATATTTAAGTTTATGTTGCAGTTCTTTAGCAACTGCTTGTGGCAACATTTATTAAAATGGACACACACAAATGTGCAATTTTTATTTTGTATGAATTTGTTATGTGAGTCGACACTTAGCATGGAACCGCTCTTTATAAACTATTTTTGTGCATGCCTTAGTGTTTTTATCGTCACTGGTTTATTGCTAAAATGGTAACAAATAAATTACTGTTAACCCGTTTTTCCGGCGGTTAAATTTACTCTAAAATAGAGTACAGCACCGAAGCTATACATACACAAACCCAAACCCCAACAGCAAATGTGCATAAAATGTTATATTTTTCTTTGCAGAATAATTAAAAAATAAATAAATAAAAGTAAAAAAGAGCAGTAAATGAAAAGTATCTCAAACAAGTTAGATTCAACCGCAGTTGTGTGTAAATAAACCAAAAAAAAATAAATAAATTTTTAAATGAAACATAAAAAAACATTAAAGTCGTAGTTTTTTAATTGCAC